CGAGGCACTTCAAATTTGAAACATATATTTTGCATATTTGGGGGTACCTTAAATGGAAAAGCTCAACATTTTTCAAAAATTTCTCAAATGGTCCCAATTTTTGATTGGACTCTGTGTGATCCGTATATGCAAAGGATACAAAAAATAGTCAGGCTCCATTACGCAGAATCAGAATTTGTTTTGAAATGTTCAAAATTCAAAATTTTTTCAGCGTCTTTCACAACTACAAAAATTGAAGGTTATTTTTTTTCAAAAACATGGGGTTTTTAAAAGGACACATCCTTAAACAAGATGTACATTTTATCAAAAAGTATTGTTAGTTTCTTTGTAATTGTGGTGGAAAATTGACAGTGTTAAAACATTATTTTTTCAAAACATGACGTTCTTTAAAGTGTTTTCCTCGGAAAGCAAGAAAATCGACGCTTTGTAAATTCTCCATGATCGCATTTTCGGAGTTCTCTGTATTTTCGGAAATTGGAAAAAATTATCATCGCCGAATGTTCATAATTGATTATTAATATTTTTTCCTTAGAGATTGTAATTTAATTACTAAAAATGAAGTCCTTAAATTTAGGGTAGGGTAGTGTACATTAATAAAGTATTTTTTTTTTTGCGTGTGATTTTGTTTCAAGTTAATGTTATATGTGTTTATATATATAATATTATATATAAATAATATGATATATATATATAATATATATATACTAATATATATATAATATATATATAAGAGACGGAGAGGAGAGAGAGAGAGAGAGCAGAGAGAGAGAGAGAAGACGAGAGAGAGAGAGAGAGAGAGCAGAGAGAGAGAGAGAGAGATAGAGAGACGAGAGAGAGAGAGGAGATGAGAGAAGAGAATTGATAGAGAGAGAGAGAGATGAGAGAGAGAGAGAGAGAGAGAGCAGAGAGAGAGAGAGAGGAGAGAGAGAGAGAGAAAGAGAGAAGAGAGAGAAATGGGAGAGAGAGAGAGAAGAGAGAGAGAGAGGAGAGAGAGAGAGAGAGAGAGAGAGAGAGAGAGAGAGAGAGAGAGAGAGAGAGAGAGAGAAGAGAGAGAAGAGAGAGAGAAGAGAGAGAAGAGAGAGAGAAGAGAGAGAGAAGAGAGAGTGAGAGAAGAGAGAGAGAAGAGAGAGAAGAGAGAGAAGAGAGAGAAGAGAGAGAAGAGAGAAGAGAGAGAGAAGAGAGAGAAGAGAGAGAGAGAAGATAGAGAGATGAGAGAGAGAAGAGAGAGAAGTGAAAGAGAAAGAGAGAAGAGAGAGAAAGAGAGAAGAGAGAAGAGAGAGAAGAGAGAGGGAGAAGAGAGAGAGAAGAGAGAGGAGAGAGAAGAGAGAAGAGAGAGAGAAGATAGAGAAGAGAGAGAGGATAGAGAGGAGAGAGAGGAGAGAGAGGAGATAGAGGAGAGAGAGGAGAGAAGAGAGAGAGAAGAGAGAGAAGAGAGAGAAGAGAGAGAGAAGAGAGAGAGAAGAGGGAGGAGAGAGAGAAGAGAGAGAGAAGAGAGAGAAGAGAGAGGAGAGAGAGGAGAGAGAGGAGAGAAGAGAGAGAGAGAGAGAGAGAGAGAGAGAGAGAGAGAGAGAAATCCTATGTGTATCATCCAATTGCTGATTAATACTAATTTTACCAAAAACCTTTAAATCCATTTCATTGCTTAAATTCATCTCGTGCTCATGCCTGAATCTCAGTCATGGTCTCAGAGGAAAAAAAATAGCTAGTTTATATTCATTAAGATGCAATAGTTAATAAAACAAAATAAGGAATTTTAACATACTATTAATTACTTGGAGCGGGCCACGTGACCTTTCGATAGAACCGCCTCAAATCAGTCTGGATTCTTTCTGTAGAATACTGGTTCAATAAGTTATCTATCAGAGCATGAATATGAAATTTGATAATAAAACTCACCTCATTATTTTTTAATGTAGTCCCCCTTCACTTCAATACGCTTGGTCCATTTAGCCTCCAGTGATCGAATACCTTCAGAATTCAACACTTTGACTATCCAGATACAGCTTCCTTAATTGCTTCGTCGTCAGAAAATGGTTGCTCATTCTGAAATTTTTTCATGTTTAAAAATTGAAAGTGGTCACTGGGGGCCAATCTGGACTATATGGTGGATAATTAAGCTGTACGAATCCGCATTCCTTCACAGCAGTATGTGATTTGCGTGACATTTATGCAGGAGCATTGTCGTGAAGGAAGAACACAGTAGAGAACTTCCCGTGGCGCTTCTGATTATCAGACTTACGCATAGCATTGTAGGCGAACAATTGGTGTCTCTTGTGAGGGTTGTCTTGTATGGTAAGCATTTTATAAGCAGGACACCTTACGTGTTCCAAAAACCGTGGCCATGATCTTTCCGGCTGACTTCTGTTCACGAAAGTTTTAGGGAGTTGGAGACCCCTTGCGCATTCATAGCATGGACTCTTGCTTGGTTTCAGGATCACGATGATGAACCCATATTTCACCCCTTGTAATTCGTGAGTAAAAGTAATGTGGATTTTCTCTAAGCAAGTTCAAATTCTCTTTGCAACATTGCTTGCGAAATGTCTTTTGCTCGAGTCAATATTCTTGGCACCCATCGGGAACTGATCTTTGACATCAATTCTGTATGGATGACACTATGAATCGTGACAGCTGAAATGCCAAATTCATGAGGACCTGGCCATATTGTGGCGGCATAAAGATTGAGGGATTATTTAATATGAAATATTAGCAGCCCTTGATAAATTTATATCGACATTACGCAACATTAGGAAACGCGTAGCTCTTTGCGTGGAGCGTGTGCCGTTCCGAAAACAGCCAAAGCCCCTTCCCCCTCTACGATCCAAGGGACTGGTCGAGACTCGTGTCCGCTGCTGCACCCTCTGATTACGTGCTGATGTCACGAACCTACTTCCATTCTCACCCTCCTCGACCTTCCGGCGTGGTCGGTTGCGTAAATGGAAAACCCTCGACGGCGATGAACGAGTGTTGTAACATGGATAAATAAATAGGCGCACCTGTGTCGCGCTCAGTACTTGGCTGTAGGCTGCGTAGCTCGAGGCGTGCATTAGCAATTTCGGAGTGACAGAGAGAGAGCACTAGTAAAATTTCTGCTCTGAAACTTTCGCCTGCAGTGATTGACCGAGAAAACTTAAATGCACAATTGGTTTTGGCTACTCACAGCACGCAATCTAATGAGCAAGGAGAACGAAGGACGATACTAGAATTTATTTAACCGTGCACTTGATGTAAATTAGCTGTTCACGGTTTCATCCAAAATGAAGCTTAACTATCCTCTGTGACGTTACGTCAAGTGTACGACTAAATAAATCATACTACACACCTGAAAAGGGAGGGCAGAAACAGAGCAAGGAGATAAATGGGTCATGACTGTCGAGTTGGGCGGATCGCGAAGTGAGAGACGGGATTGATCTCGTACGCGATCGTTTAGTAATGTGATCTTGGAACTTGTGAAAATATTTAGCATATCGAAGCTCGGGACGCGATGGACCGTCTGTGTAATAACGGACGTGAAGTCAAAATGCTAGGTCCGTTAGTTGTGATCAGGCACCTAGTAATGTTAATTTCGATAGCTAGGAGCATTATTTCGCACCGTTACGTTATGACTGCTGTTCATTCGCGAAGTTCCATGAATTCAGAACCTGCCGCCCGCATTTGAGGACAGTGAGGAAGAGTGCGTTAATGACAATTGGCGTAACGTGTGGTGTGGATTGTTGCCACCCGCAGTGAATGACAGGTGCCCTCTGAGCTTCTGCCAATGGGCCGCCCCGGACTGGCTTAGTGTGGGGAGGCCGAGCAGCTCGTGCCAGCACCTTCACCGGAAGACAGCTGAAGGGTCAACGACCACCCGCGGCCGCCATGACGGAGCCCACGACACTAAAGGAAACTGTAAAGTCTTTCGATGTAAAACCACGCAAATACTTAAAAGCTCTTCAACCCAATTGGGTAAATAACAGAACATTCATTGCTTCTGTAATAATGGGGAAGAATTTAAAGAAAGATTTATGTTTGAATTGGCGTGGCCGCGATTTGGCCTTTTACCTTATTTTAAACTAATATGACCCTGTAATCGTAAATTTATTTCAATATTTACTCAGGTACCGAGCTCGTTAAGTTTCATGATTTTGTAAATCTTAATGAATTAAAGTTGTTTAAATTCTTATTTGAAAAGTGTTTTCTTGTGATTATTTTGAACGACGCCCCCATTCCATTATACTGAAAATGGGTATCCTGCAGGATCTGAACTAGCTGGAACTACCAACAAGGTGTCGACATCTCAAATTGCTGCCCTAAGTGTGGAGATGGGTTAAAATTAATAAACCAACACATCACAATAAGGATCTGAACACAACGGCTTAAAAAAATTATGGTATCACTTTTTGGCACATTTCCTACAAAGGTGCATCCACAGACAGCCTTGAATGTGGGATATCTTCAATTGAATCTCTAAACTTAAATTGTTGGACTAAAATTTTACTTTATAGTATGAACATGCATCATTGTCATACACAACATTAATCCTCTCATGGATTTCCTTAAGCTGCTTCTCTTCTTTTGATCAATAAATAGAGATATTGTCAAAAAAAGGTATTGATCAAAATAAAAAAGGTATCTACTTCACCAACAATCCAATTAATACTGCTTCTCTTCCTTTGTGAGGAATTTTATCACTGTGTGATGTCAGAAATTGCCAATTTTCTCTGTTGACCCGCACGGCACTGCACTTGCCATCTTCTCACATGAAGAGCTTACGGCAGACTGCCTTGTAAAAGCGTAGCAAGACACGTCACAACTTGCCTGTGCACGCTCAGTTACCCAACAATGACGTAAGATATGAAGGTAGATGACTTATTGAACGATTCTTGTAAATCTTTTACTTGTTCTCTAGTACACCAACAACATAACGTCATGATCCAACGCTGCGTTACAATGTTTCCTTCCTTTCTTTCTTTCATTTTCTGGGTGAGCGCTAAAATTATGAGAATTTGAAATAAGTTAAACAATTTTTGAAAAGAACACTAATTTAATATCACGAAAAAATCTCTGGAATATTACATCACAGATGTTAAGTTATTGTAATCTATAAGCATTCTCTCTTTCATCATTTAACTGCTTCATCTTTACTGTCCCAAGAGGATTGAATATGGAGCTCTATGTAGTCTCCTCGCTTCCTCTTCCCCACAATTTATTCATCATAGTTGCCAAATCTTGTCATTAGTGCTGCAGAGCTGGCAACTCGTTACTACTCTAGCCCCACACAGTACTTGTCTTTTTCTCTTCTCAATAGTTATCATTCCTGTTACACCAGTTTTGAATATGGATAATTTTCTCTTATTTTGATTTCATAAAATCATTCTAGTTGTAAATGAGATCAAGATACCAATTTAGAGAGAAGACAAATTATCTCAAAATGGTAAAAGATTGAATGATTTTGAAGAAATAATTTTAGAGTTTTCATTTTTATTTTATTTTTTCTATCTTATCCAATGATATTGGAAGGATAGTAATAGTATAACATTAAACTTTACATATTTCATGATTTTTACAATACAAAACTATGAAATACAATTTCCCCTCAATAACTGACTGCTCTACATGAATATAAAAAGAGTTTTGGTGACAAAATACCAATAACAATGCCTTGGTATATGTATATAAAAAAAGATTGCAAAACAAATTGTGCACATATTATTACTATTAACATTCTTGCTTCTATCTCAAACTTAGTTTAGAGTTTTAACCTAAAGTTTTAGTAGCTATTTTGCATATTACTCACACAATCATAAAGAAAACACAACCACTCAGTGAGTAACAAAATGAACACCATATAGCAGTTCAAATTCTCCACACAATTTGATTTCTTCTAAGATAAAGATCACAGAAATTAAAGTATAGAAATTACATCTTCTTAATACTATTTAATACTGAATTTAAAAAAATAACATTGATGCTGTGTTACATACGAGGAATAAAAACTGAGTTAAGCAAGTCAACATTTGAATTCATGAAAATATGTTAAAAGTGATTTAAAGACTTTCCTCTTTTCAGGCAATACTTTTCTTACAAGTGAATATTGCAGTTATGTTTGGCAGTGTTGCTGGGTAGTGACGTTTATTTTTTTGAACACTTATTGAACAATAAAATTCCCCAAAAATTCAAAAACCCTTTCTTTGAAACAACTTGCAAAGAACTGACACTGAATAGTGATTTACTATTTTAACATATCCTTCCAAGAAAATGTAATAATGGGATGAGACAAAATTCATGAATTCAATTACTTTAAGATTTACAAACAAAAATCTATGCCTACTGAGTCTTGTTTCCTCTCATACACACATACGCAATTGGGGTTAAAAGGATATAAATATAACACAACTCATTTCTTTCACTCACTTGAAAATTCAGCACATTCCGATTTGCATGTTTAAAATTTACTACTTTACGGCACAATATTGATCTTTTACAAGAAACAGTCTTATATTCTTAACATAATTTCAAGGTTCTATAATAATGCACACTGTGTAACAGACCAAATTATAAATATATAGGAGAAACCTGACCACCCATATCTTACAGATCTTGCTACTTTCTTACAAAGGATATTTTAAAACTAAATGTCAAGTATGCACACACTCACAGATACAATTACCTAAAAATTATTCAAATTACTGTGTAATGATATCTGTAATTTATGTATAATAGATAAGCAAAAAAACCAAAAAAATAAAACATTAACACAAAAATTGAGAATTTGTATATTAATAGCACTTCAAGAGCATCTAAATAGATGCATAAATGAAAATAAACTATGCTACTATAATATAATTTAAGTGAAATAGAAAGTTTAAGTCATTCCATTTTTATCCAATTTACAATAATATCTAATACAGCCTCAATGCTATACTTACATAATTAATAATTATCTACTTGATCACACATTTATACTCTAAAATTGTGGATGCACAGGATTGAGAAAACTTGACTTGTAAAACAAATACCTTCTGAAACACAAGCAAATGTCATCCTTTTTCTGTCGTGCAATGCAATGACCAATTCCTGTAAAGCATATATATAGTCTGTATTTTTCATTCAATCACTCATTCTATAGATGACCTTAGGAATAAATTCTGGAGGAGTGTGTATTTAGGACAAAATATGAGGAATAGTTGCATCTGAAATTAATATTCATTATCATGTTTAAGCTATTATTACTAAACTCATACTATATTTACACAAAACTTCTATGAACCAAACTTGTTTTGGAAGGATCTCGTAACCAATTTTTCACAAGAAAGCCCATGATCCTAGACATAGATCTTGCTGAATGCAGCATTTGCATCTATAATTTGGTGAACAACAACTCATATTTAAGAAGGTATTTGTTTTGGTACCCAGTCATCATTTTCTTATTTTAAGAAATACCTTTCTTTATATGCAACCCTCTTGTTAACACAATGTACAATGGAAGAACATTTAAGTTCAAAAAACACTACCTATTGAAGTGTCATTACACATCCAAAAACTTGTAGCAAGGTATAAAGAGGATGTAACCCTTAACAATCTCTTCAGTCTGAAACACCAATTAATCTTTTTTTGAAGATACGAGAAATTAAAACTAAATTATCACCTTAATTGTCAATTAATTTGAATTGGAAAAAATATTTGTATGTACAATTATTCTCAGCAGAAACTAATTTTTAAATTTCATGAGTTAATTATTTGGACTAGAGAGAGAAGACTTAACAAACAAGAGATTTAAATACAGAAACAAACCTAACCTATTACAAAATTAATAGGTACTAAAGCTTAATTATGCCAAGATTATTGGGAACTAAGAATTTATATAAAGGAGAATAATTTTTGTTACTACTCTGAATTCATTTTAAGAAAATCTACAATTCCTTCTGTTTGTAGCTATGATCATACTCATTAAGTAATAACTTACAAACAACCAACAAATCTCAGAGAAAAAAATATTCAGTGGCATTCCTTGTGTCATACTTTCCAAATTAGTGTTTTATGTCCTAAAAATTTTTTTGTTGTAAAAGAAAGTCAAGCAGTACTGGTGATTTTTTACGCCAAGTTATGAAAATTGTCAAATTTTAAAACAAGACCAATTTCCCTAGCATTGTTAATCATTTATATAATTATATCCTGGCATGACAAAAATTTCTCCAAGTTCAATAAAAACTGGAATAGTCAGAAAAATAAAAGCATTAATAATTTATGATAATGCGAATATATTATTACTGCTATTCCCTTTAAAATTGATGTTTATGGTAACTTAATCTCTCATAGGCAATACAAAACTTCTTCCGTGTTACAATTTCATCTATAAAATTAAATCTGAAAGTATTAGAAGAAGGTGTTCCTAATAATGAGTGTAATGTTTTAAGAGTCACTTATCACATCTTGAGTGTCATTACTAGAGCTAGTATCAGGACAAATTTCACTCTGACTGTTAAAGAGTGCTTTAAGTTGCTGCACAGTAATGCTATTATCACTCCACTTCTCACCACTTGTTCGGGTGGCTTCATAGATTCGTTCTTCAATAGTTCCACGAATAAAAAAGTGATGGACAGTAGTTTTCCTGGAATGAAAGAGTAATATTTTATTGAAGAATTTTCATACATATTAAATTATCTTAAGACAATAATTGAAATTATTAGAATATGTTTAATATTTAATCATATTGTGATTAGAGCCAGTAAGATCTAAAAAAACAAAAAAACAAAAACTAATGCACATATATACTGATTTAAATTTGCCTTCATTTAGAATGAATGAAGACTATTTAAGACAGGGAAATTGGTAACAGATACATAAGAAAGTATTTAATTGTGTGAGTCCATCCAAGTGACTCACAAAGCTACAGATTGTGGCAAGCTTCCTTTTGTCCAAGGATTGTTTTGTTCACTAAACATCAGTAATACATATACGTTGTTTTCACAAAAATATATACTATTTACTATTGCCAATATTTCACATGACTGCATATGCATATTAAGAAATTACTTCCACAAATGAAAGCAAAGTAATTCTGGCTTTTTAGGATCACTGTCCTGGGCAGCAATGGAAATATTTTGCCTCCTTCATGACAAAAATACATTTTGCTCTGAAGAAAGCCTCAAAATTATTGCTAAAACACAGTCACCACATCTCAAGGATACTAATACTGGAACAGGTAGAAAATACTAAACCTCAGAAATTTTCATTAAATGAACAACTTACTTTGTTTGACCAATCCGATGAACTCTACCAATAGCCTGCAATTCATCAGCCAGATTTAACATTGGATCTACCAAAAGAACATGTGTTGCTTCGATTAAATTAAGGCCTTTGGCACCCAAACTCACAGGTATCAGCAATGCTGTAACATGTTGGGCTTCTTCCTGGAAAGACATGCCAAATAAAAAAAGTATGCTTCTTAATGGACAAACAAAATGATACGGTAAATATTTCAAAACAAATATTATATTACATTTGCAACTTCATTATTAATGAATCGACGTATTTGGCTCTAGATGGTCCTATGACACATTTTCAACAAAATTAAGACAAACCTACTGAATAATTGATACTCAGCATATCAATTTTTACATATTGTGCTAGAATTAGGATGCTGGTACAATAAATGAGTCTGTACTATGAAACCCTTCATTCTGTGTCCAGGGACATCAGATTGAAACCCTTCAATAAATAAAAAAATAAATGTATATTTCTTAATGTCTGCAAACTAATAGCAAGAATTTAATATAATTAAATATTGATGTACCTGAATTCAGTCACATCAATATACAATAAATAGTCTATAATTTAAACAGAATCATGTAACTGCATAATTTTACAGTACCTTGAATAATTGCAAACTAGCTTTATATTTTGGACCAGACTGAAGGCGACAAAATGAAATTTCATTCATTCCCAGAGCCTTTTCTAGAACATCTAATACTTTCTCCCACTGCAAGATAAAACAATGTTAGTTCTGTTCATAAATATTCAATGACAATAATGTTTTCATTATGATATTTTGTTAATAAGATTATTTTTCTATCCAAATATTTTCTAATTTAGGTACTTACTTTATATATACAAAATAGTAATGATAATTAGTTTAGAAAGGAAATTGTTAAAGTTATCTAAATTTCTTTGACAAGTGATCTAAGAACCAATTATTTTCCATGACAACAAAACAGTACAGATTCCAAAAAAGTAACATACTAATGCTCTTAAAAATAAAAAAAACAACAATTTTTTTAATAATGGGCTAATGGAATAATTCTATATGTACATTGATGTTTTAGAAAAGAAACACTAATAGTTCAAGAGATAGCATAATTAAAAAATTGACTCATTCAAAAACTTTTTAAACATGACTAAATAGGAAAATTTATTTCCCCAAAGAAGTCTTTTGCACTATCACAGTTTAAAAAACTCTAGTTCATTTGACTAATTTGAATCAGAATTCATCTGCCCTTAATTTTTTATGTAAACATAAAATTGCACATTTCACATTTCACATTTCATGTTTTGTATACATATTTATACATATTTTGTACTTGGTAAAATGCTAAGTCAGTGCTCCAGACTGGGATAATTCTTTTTGTGATGTTTAAATGAATCACTTTTTGATGCTATCTCTTCTACTAAAAGGAAAGAAGATCGCAAAAAGTATTGTGTATTTGGTTCATCCTAAAGTGTGTATGAATAAATGAGCATGTAGAAAACTAACAAACATAGAAAAGTGTTTTGTCTTACCGTAGAGAAAACTAGTGCTTTTACATCAGGTTGCTTTTTACGTATAGATAACAAACATCTTACAACAGCTTCTATTTTTGTAGAAAATGAGCCAAAAACTGAAGTATCAGGCCATTTGTCTTCATCCTGAGATTTAGCTCCAATGTCCACAAAAGAGATATCACATGAGAGTGTTACATCACGACACACAGGGCACTTGACATTGATTGTTCGATGAACACTTGATTGCATTAGTTGCTGAATACATTCCACACAAAAGCAATGGCCACACTGCAGCACACTCCACTGAAATAAGATAATATTAAATAAATAAGGAACATACTAGCTCCATATTTTATCGAAACGAAAAACAATAACAAAAACGACGATAAACAAAACCATATTACAAGGAGAATAAAATTGTAACTTCAACGGTACAATTAATACAACTGAATTAATGTTGGAGAATTTAAAGGTTGCCATACAGTTCTGAAAGCCTCTTTCCCAAAATCTCCTATCAATGCTCTAAATTGTCATGTTAGAAAGTGGAAAATAATTTTTTTTTTTCATATTTACAGAAATAAAATATTTTGTTACACAGGGCTACAGAGTCCCTTTTGAAATTTTTAGGGGAGCCCACTCCTCCCCAGGACCCACCCCCCTTTGTGTGCCACTCTATGCCAAATAAAGTTAATGGGATCATTCTACAAATACTAAAACATATTTTCAATACAAGTTCATGTACATTTGGAATATCAGTTCCAATATTGCTCAGTGGGAGAGAATATTTTGATCAGCCATTTCCATAGTTTACGCAAAGAAAACATTTTACTTTACATAGAGAAGAAAACCATACATTGTTGGCAAAATATTTTTATTGCACAATAAAATCAATCTTTTAGCTACCACCTGTGATATGCAAATCAGTAGATACTACATCAATGCAGATCAATGCAAATCATGTATTTCCATTGAAATCTCAAAATTGATTTGCCACAGCATTGCATAACTTTCTCTGTTCTGCGTATATTGCTCCGAATATATGTACGTATATGGGAAAGTAAAAATGCAAGGATGCAAATTCTTCCAAAGGAAACGTACAGCATCAGAGTAGATTCTCTGAGGAATGTTTGGTAAATCATTTCCATATTCCAAGAAGCCTTTTTTTAGTGAGATGGAATTATAAGAAATTTAAATTTTTTGTACAACCCGACTTGATAATCAGCAGTAATGTGACTAATCACATTAAAAAAATACATTCTTGCAACTATTATTTCAATTATGGAATTGAATATTGCATCACTTGTAAGCGTTGAAATCGTCTTCCCTATTCGCACTTTTAAACACGATTGTGGGCATCTCACCGCGGCCTTCCCTGAAACGTTACAAATTGACCTTATCCAACTCTTTCATGATGCTTTGCCCTTGCCCACCATTTCGATTTGTGCCTGCCCCTGCACTACAGGAAAGTTGCAAATGCAGTTTGCAAATTCTATTTTTTTATAAACTAATTTTCTTGTTTCAAATCAATTTCTTGTCTCCCAGGAAATATCACAAAATTATACATATTTAAATACATCTCAGAATCATTTCTTACATGTTATGCAATCCACATTTTTTCTTACCTTTTCTCCAAGCTCTATCCTGCATATGGGGCATGGATCAGGGTTTGTTTTGCAACCCTGATTCTTCTCTAGATTTTTTAGATATTGTAACTGGCCTATTTTACGTCGTAACTCTGCTTCTGATTGAAGCCTATCACTCTGAAATCTCGCAGCATGTGCTTCCACCTTCAAAAATAAAGACAAAATCTATACAGAAATTTGTACATAAAATTCAATCAATTTGATTTGATTTCATTTCATTTCTAAATCTAAATGTATAATCTTTATGCTAAAACAACACATTTTTCTCTCTCCATGAGTACATATTTTTTTCTTTCAAATTATATAAAGCATTGAAATAAGGTCTTGAAAATGTCTTCTATACAGTGATATTTTCACAATGGTACATATGAAATTAATAGGTAAGGAATAATATACATGGAAAAGCAATCTAAAAGTAAGAATGGAAATTTGAAGGAAATTAATTTGATACTAAAAAAAACTAATATATTGTTCTGAAAGTTCTCGATTTTACTTTCTCATTACATGTTACACTGAAAGTGTTGTAATTTTTTGAAAATAAAACACATTTCGCCTGCCCCGGAATGAAAGAGACTTTTTTGTCTTTTGTCAAACCGGGGGAATTTTCCTACAATTTGAACTTGATGTTTCCATTTTCATTCAATTTTTATTTTCTCATGTACATACCGGGTAATATACATAGTGTAGAAAAAAATGTGTAATGTTGCACATGCAAAGAGACTTTTTTTGACAAAAAAAATTTGGCTCTCTAATACCCTTCAAGAGGATATTTCTAGCTGCTATATGTAGTAAATTACTTTCTCTAAAGTAAGGAAATCAGAAAGTACGATTTGTGGTACCATAATACTGAAAAAGCAAAATTGATTTGTCAAAATGTCCATCTTTTATTGTTTATTTTCAATTACATAAAGTTTTTTCCAGTGCTGTTATAAACATTTCTGTATAGAATATTGATTTTGGTTCGAGTTATCTTTACCTTTGTTTACACAAATTTCCAAAAATTTTTGTTTAATTGCAAATTGGTTAATGTGTATGCCTCTACAACAGACTGTGTTTAATTCATGAGCTTGTAACAATTGTTTTGACCACCAGTTAGCCTTGCAAAGGCTAGAGCTAGTATTTTAGTCTCCAGTCCGGCCCTGCAATAGGTTTTTTGCTTGTAATTAAATGCATGCATAAACCGCCACTTCAAGCTTCTTACCTCGTGGGATTCTATTACATGAATGGTTTCCATTTTATTGGTTAAAAGAGAACTCAGCTGATGTAAAGGATTGTGCTTTTGACTTCTCTGTGGAACTCGTTCATCTTCAAATCTTATCCTGAGCCTTAACTTTGCCATATGGAGTTCATCTTGTACAGATACTCTGTCTCTCATTTGAGTCCATGTGAATCGTAATTGCTAAAATAAATGAGAAAAATAAAATTCATTTTCAATAATTACATACTTTGAAAAGTTGTATGTTCAACATACAGTTAATTTTAAAATTAAAGAATACTTTTGAAGACCCTAAAAAATATTGGAGCTATTGATCACTCTTTTACAGAATGATGTTACAGAGAACAAGGGAGGAGTAAGGTGGAGAAAAGATCTAATAAATATTCATTGCAATAAATAATTGCATACAGGACAACTTTTATAAGAATTTTCACAATTCAGCAATATCCCTTAATTCCATAAATACTTAGGTTTTATCCCATGAGCAAATCACATCGGATTCTTAAACTTTCTTGACATTCGTTAAGAAAAAGTCAACTTGTACCATTTTTCAGTCCCAACATGAAGATTGATTGATTAAGGCCCATTAAAAGCTTTGGTCATTGGCGTACTCGCTGAGTTAATTCAAAAGCATTATAGATTTAAATAGAAATTAGAATAAACAATATTGCAGATTCAATTATCATGTGTACTACGAGTACATACATAAGGTATATGCACCTAAAGCTATCAGTGAACCAATAGCTGAATCTTTCTGTTTCAGAATGTCGAAATAAGACTTTAAGTAACAACATTATAATTTCTGAATGTTTACCTCTCATGTACATTGGCAACACTGCACTCTGATCATGTGTCGCAGTAATGCTTTTGTTCAAGACAAATGCCATGATGTAAACAGGTGGTGTGCAAGGTCATTAATATTTGGCAGTTTTCCTTAAGAAATTTGCAAGCTTACAACTTTTTTTCCATAGATTACACAGTTACAAAATTAATTTATTTGTAAGGCTTTCTATTTTGATGGGTGATTTTTATCTATTTTTGCCTCCTGTTTACGAATCTGAAAACAGATTTTCTCTAAAACATAAGGATTTTGTTTGTGGACAGTTTTACTGAACATATTATATTATTTATTGTGAAGTTTAGGCAATTAACTGCAGGGAAGTAACACAAAACAAAATGCAAATAATTCAAAAAATAAGTTAGTTTATTTATCAACATATAATACTAATGACAAGTCAGACACACATGTTTCAATACTCAATTTTGTTTATTTTAACTGTGGAAGTATGATCTTCGTGGTTGTTGAATATGTTGCGATTCCACATTATCGCTCTTCTGAGACCAGCATTAGTCAGCTATCATAACAGCATTCCACGTAGCCTGTTAACATCTTTCTATGTCCATCGTATCTTGGTGGAATCATTCCCCATGTTCTCCACTTAAATCTCTCAACTCTCTCAAAAGTTACATTTTTCATAGCCAGCAACATAACTTCCACAATATTCTTGAAATTTGGGTCTTTCTAATTTCCCCAAAATATTATTATTACACTCTTAAATCCTGATCAAACAAGATTTTTTCTCACAAGTCATAACATTTTCCAAGCCTGCATCACTCATTAGATTTCTAATCTGGGGACCCACAAAGATTCCTTCTTTTCGTTTAGCAGACAGAAAGGAAAATGTGTAACTGATATACCTAAAACAGTCTCCATCTTTATTCAGTCCCTTAACATACTGTTTCACTATCCTGAGTTTAATATGGAGAAGTAGGAGAATTATCTTATCCCGCTTTATCGAACTTGCTCAATTTACGTTCCTGTCTGCTGGATCAAAGTTTTGCTCTGTCAGGTTAGTCCTTCCATATTTTGATGTTACTTCTTCAAGAGGGTAAGGTAAAGAAGAGGGCCATCTTCAGTAAAATACTCCCGCAACTCTTCTTCCTTTGTTCGGTACCACGAGAATGTTGTGCCAGGAGCTAGCATTTTATTCTCCTTCAAACGAGAACCCAGTTGTGATAATTTGAGAGACCCAGATGTCTTCCTAAGTCATTTAGTTTACCTTGGGTAAATAACTTGGGGGTTGGTTCGCCTGTGTGGTACGTCATTTCACCAGTCTTCCGGATCCTGCGGCAGAATTAGCGGCAACTCAGCGGAGGAGAGTGCAACGCTCCCCTCCCCCGCAGCACAGCCCGAGCCGCCGGCACCCGCAGACTCAGATGTCAGCGACTCAGCGGGCCCTACATCCTCCAGCGAGCCATCCGCGACCTCCCCCTCCTCGCAAATGAGTAGCGGGGAAGGCAAAATCCGTCGACCGCCGTCCACCGAAGTGGCCGCCGGCACCGCGACCACCTCCAGAGGGAGGAGCTACAACCGTCGGCGAAAGCCGAAGACCACTGCTACAGCCGTAGCTGTAGGCCCTGGCGCCATCCCAGACGGAAACTTCTACGGAGGGACCCAGGATCTCCGCGGCGACCTCCTCCATGCTCAAGAAGAAGCGTCGGCACGCCCGCACACGTCGCAGAGCGGAACCACCCCCGGCGCTCGGCAGGAACCCCCGGCAGCAAGTAACGACGCCACCGCCCAGTCCTCTCCCTCCCAAACCCACGACGGCGAGGGCACAGATGGCGGCTGGCAAACCCTCCCCGTCAACCAGCGCGGCCGGCCCCGCAACGCTAATTTCCCGATGGAGGCGCCCGGGCACGCCCAGCTCGCAACACAGGAGCCCCAAGCGGCGGCCGCCTCGAGGCCACCGACAAAGCATTCCATAAGGCTCAGGATCCTCGATGCTGTTCTCGCCCACGGTCGTGCGCTGGGCGTAGCAACAGAAAAAAAAGGCCACAATTGGCCGAACCAAAATGCGGAGGAAGCGTATTCTACGCAACCACCGACAAGGTGGCCTACTTAGAGGCGAAGAAATATGCGTGACTTACATACATATTTCTGATTCTCGCACGCAACGCGTGAAGGGATAAAAAGACCCTTCGAGTGAATCATGGGATCCCGAGGGGGTTCACCGAGGAGAAGGTGGCGCAAGAGCTGAGAGAGCTCGGCTACGACCCCCTGGGCGTCAGGCAACACTGGCGTCTAAAAGAGTATGTGGTCGCCGGACCCGCAGGTGAAGGTGAACCTCCACTAAATGAATGTCAATGCAGTAAACTGCTCACGGGGACATTCATGGTCACAATATGCGGCACACCTGCCTCGCTCAAAATCTATTCGGTCCGTCAGTGGAATAGCTTCGATGTTGGAAAAAAAGCTGGATGTCGAAATTGGAAAAAAAGGCTGATTTCAAGTTCGGCTAAACAATGCTTCGAATGATTTTCATGATATGCCCCCAACTTTCACCATACAAAAATAGCAGTCATCTACGTGATTGGTTTGCTCTCATCACACCATCACGATTCCAAGATTAAGACTTCTGCTTCCCTTAGGACCATTAACACACGTATGACATACACAGTGCCGCACAAATCTGTTGTCTTGGTCCCCTAACTTGACACCAAAATAAGCTTGGTAAGCCCTTTTTACGAATGAGGTAATGTTCTGTTTTCTAGTTTTGGAAGTCAGTGATCCACAAATGTAACAAAATCTGTTAGGATCACTTATACACAATCGTCTTGAACTAGCCATTTTTAAACTGACTTGCTAAATAACTTAGTCGCACTTACTACATAACTTACAAAATTCGGCATACTTACGAAAGAGACCAAAACGGTTACATCAAAAAGACATTGATCAATATCGATCTTCTCCGAAGCGACCGTTTTCAATTGCTCCATATCTTACATCGACTGTTGTTACGCACGAAATTTTAAAAAGGGAAATACGAGGGTGAGCCAACTGAAAATCGTAAAAGTATAATAAAAAATCCAAATGTGCCATTAGTGTCCCGTAAATTGATAGGCATGTTTGAAATAGTGTGCCAGATATATCCTTGGTGTCTTCATTGTGAAGAAACACAACAGGAACAATGTAAAAATGGCTGCCCCACTAGCAACGTGGACCAAGGAGGAACAGCGTTCTTTGGTTTAGTTTTTGCGAAGCGAAGATGTGAAACCTACCAACATTCTCCGACGGATGGATGTTCAGAATGGACACCTGCTTGTCACAGCAGCAAGTGTACCAAGTGTCGGAAATTCGCAAACGGTATGACATACGTGGCCGACGCTCCGCGCCCTGGCGAGGCACATCACGTTGTCGTTCCAGAGACCATTGCAGCGGTTGAAACAATCTTGGAAACCACCGAGTGGCATTAGACTACATTGCAAAAGCTGTACACTTTAATCATGGTTCTGCACATCGCATTGTGGATGACGTGCTCCAATTTCATAAGGTGTCTGCAAGATGGATGTCATGACAACTGACTGACGGAATTCAAAACGATGCTATCAAAACTAAACGACGTGGTTTGCTATCGGCAGGTGTTCTGCTGCATTACGACAATTCACGGTCCCATACGGCTTATGCAACTGTTGCGACAATAACAGACTTGAGATTTGAATGCCTCCCTCATCCACCTACTCGCTCGATGTTGCCCCGAGCGATTTCCATATGTTTGGCCACTCGAAACAATGGGCGGCAAGAAGTTCCATTTGGAATGATGAGGTACACCATGCCGTTTACGAGTGATTGAGCCATCATCCAAAAACATTTTTTCTACGGGAATTCAAGCAATTCCGAAGAGCTGGCAGATATGGGTTGAGCGTGTCGAAAAGTGATCCAGTTATGTACCATGAGTAATATACATAATATTTTAAAAAAATAATTACGGTTTTCTTTTGACTCACCCTCGTACGTGTTTATGGAAAGCCTGTGGGTTTTACAGCAAATCTGATTCCATATTCGCAAAAAGGCTTAAGAAATCGTTCGAAAACACACATTTTCATGCAAAGCATCAAAATGATGATACTCTGTGTATGTATCTTGTAGCTCATGTATCTTGATTTATGTCTATTTTGAACTTCATTGATTTAACTACTTTGAAGGTTTCAAAGTATTGTGTAAGCACATTTTTATCACGCATAACACATGCATCCTCATACATACAACCAAAACATGTGAAGTGGATGTTTTGAACAATGTTTAAGGAACTAAATTATTTAAATCTAATGAATTATGTCTATTGAAAGTGAATAGTGATGTGTGAGGAAGAAGAAGTATTTCTATACTGTTCATAAAAATATATACAAATGTAAGTGATCTAAGTAGTAAATAAGGAATTTGGGAGATCTTGCGAGTGGATGATTGTAGAAACATTTTTTGAGTACTTTTCTAATATGTTCCATCCATGGCTATTGAAGATTAATATAATATCCAGTCCTACAGTTTGTTGACGGGCATGTTTTATATCTTACAGAATCGCTAATTAATATCCGTTTCAAAAATGGTACTATACTGGTGGCATTATATCCTCAGTCTACGCATATTTTACAGCAAATGGATGTGTCTGTCTTTCCCCTCCTCAAGAGTGCTTGGAAAAATGAAGTGAGTCAGTGGAGAATAGAGCATAATGATTCTTGGCTGTCAGGTCGACCGAGCTGACGTTTCGGCCATCATTGTGTGGCCTTCTTCAGAGTGATCATGACGGTCAGTTCGATCGACTGATCCGCGGCTCAACAGGGACAGCCAAGTGTCAAATGACTCCGGCTGCGGAAGTCTCCGCATCCGATACAGCATAATGGACGAAAAGTAAGGAAGATTTGCTAGCCGCCGCCCCCTCCTTCGTCGTGGCAATGGCCCGATACTCTACTCTGGGAATAGAAGAAGGACTTCCCAGGCATTCAATGAGGAGGTTTCCGAGAGGGATATCTGCGTTCCGGCGGGATCCGGGTACCAACAGCCCAAAGCGAGTGTGCCGCGGAGAGTGAGAATAAAGACTAAAACCCTATGTGTCTACTCCGGGGATTTATCCTCCCGGTTGAAATAAATGAGGTGTGGGGTAGCGGCCCACGCAGGGTTTACATACGCCCAACTCGTCACTCGTGGTTAGACGGTTTCCGGTCCACCAATCAAGGCAAATTGTTTGCCAATCGATGCGTCTCGGTATTCTGCTCAGCAATTGATTATTTTTTGTGGATCCTTCGGGAATATTCCAAGAATTTTTTTTAAAAACGTGTTTTTTTAAAAAAAAAAATTAAGCAACTACGAGTTTGGGGTGACGGGAAGTATATATCATTCCATGCATTCTTGACTATCCCGGATAGCCAAGAATGTATTGACTCCGGCCGCGGAAGCCTACGAACGCATATAGATCATTCTATTCCTTTCAACACGGTAAATCGATTGGTACAATTCTTAGCCGTTTCTCCGTAGAATATTCTGGAATAATTCGAGAAAAGTACGCTTTTTGAAGGTTTCATTGCACCAATGAGAATACCGGCGAAACTCTGTGAATTCCTAGTATTAATGCTAGAATTCTCTTTCTAGCATTAACATGAATCCTAACGACATGAGTCATAAGATTGGTAATAGAACCTAATTTTGTATTGCAGCAAACATTTAAACAAGTATTTTAATTTATACCTTTTCATGTAACTTTCTATGCCCGAAAATGAACTAGCCACACAACTGTAATATGTTTAAAATTTATGAAGTCGTAGGCTTACCGCGACCAGAGTCATGTGGGTGATCTGGGCTGTCCGGATGACGCCGCGTCGAAGGCTGAGTTGCCGACGTTTCGACCACCCTGTCGTGGCATACCAGCCCTGAGGAAGACCACGACAGGATGGTCGAAACGTCGGCAACTCAGCCTTCGACGCGGCGTCACCCGGACAGCCCAGATCACCCACATGTTTAAAATTTATGTTTATTATGAACATGCAAAGCTTGAAACATGAACTTATTGCAAAAGTGTACATTAAAATTGAATATGGATCAATTTTACCTTAAATTCTTTTTTCAGAGCTTCTAGCACCTTCAGAAATTGGTTTCCATCTTCCAGTAGTTCCACTGACGCTCTTTTATTTCTTACAAAAGTAAGTAACACTGAAAACAAAAAAGGTAAGGATTATTTATATTTAAATTACAATTACTAAATTACTAATAGAAATCGGTGCGATTAAATCGCATGAGAGAGTTTAAAGCAGACTTCATTTTTATTTGCCCAGATATTTATTTACTATATTCATCCATTCAGATTGGAAACGGAATGAATTCTGCCTATAGTGCGTCCCCGCCCTGCCTTGCGCCGAATTGCCCAAATCTCCCCTGCATCTTCCCACATTCCTCACCCAATAGAATGGGTCGCATCATGGCGAATCCGTCCGCAGTTGGTGCATGCGAGACAAAGGAATCCTGAGAAAGAGTGTGTGGGTACAGTGTGCTGCTATTATGGGTTTTGTTCAGCAGATTCCGCGCCTAGGGCTACAAATACCGGCTCTGCACAGGCACCTAAATTTCTTTCCAGAAAATCTTCGCACCGTGAGTGTGAGCGTAGGGAATACTTTCATCAAGAGATTTTTGCTGTGGAAAAGATATATCAAGGCAAATAGAATCTTACTATGTTGCCGGTTCTTGTTGATTAAGAGGGAGGCTCCACAGACGAAATTAACAGAAAATAGTCATTTCTTACTTTCTAGGCCAGTGAGAATGTTTGAATAATGTGTAGTTAAAAATTAAAAAGTTTTAAAATGTATGAATTTTTAAAAGACTGTTTCTCGGAAACTTAGGGTGATAGATAAAAAATCGATATCATACATGAATTCAGGAGAAAAATACTATTAGAATCACATATTTTTCTTTCTGAGACAAGCACGTCAACTACTAAGTCTGTAAATGTAGTGTATGTTTTTGTACGGGTGTGGCGGTTGTCTTCCCCCGCTGTATGATACCTGAAAAGTGTTTTATTTCAGAACGTCAGTCTGTCAGGTTTTTTTTCCAAAACGAAGAAACCCTTGTCCATGTAGCCTGGGTCGAATCTCTGCGATTTTGAAAATCATTCATTAGTTTTTGGGAGTACTTTACATGAAGCCACATTTTCAAACTTTTCTTAAAAATGGCTCGAATTTTTTTCTTTAATGTCTTCTAAGAATATAATAAAATACATTTATAAAGGTGGCATAAGTTCGATTTTCACGGTTAACTCTGAATTTTCAAAAATTTCAAAACATTGAATATGGGTCTCTAACTGACGATTACAGCGTGCGGGGTGACCAACCCACGTCTCTTAACTTAGTTGAGTTTCCACTAGAACTCTATCGCATGTCATCGCATCGCATAATCGCATAATTGCTGCAATGTCATCGGCGTACCCTATCATGGCTGCATCTTTTGGCATTTTTCCTGGAGGATGGCATTTGGGAAATCTCATGTTTGGTGCCAGGATCGATCTTTGCGCTTTCATACAGCGGCCAGAAGGTAAAGAAGAAAAAAGACCGGATGAAATCTACAGAGGACCTAAAACTCTTCCAACAACGGAAGAAAACTAATGACGCTACGTACCACTTTCTCGCGTCAGTAACCGTGAAATTACAATATTGCAATTTCTGTCCTTAATATATTTTAGCTGTCACTTCTAAAACTCAATACCAATCGTGATAACTCCCGAAAGATTCTAGCTTCTTCTAAAAGGAAGTGCGGTAAATTCAAATTTACAAAATTATATACCAGTTTTTATTTTTGGGACAGGAGCGTTTTTAAAGAACTGATTTATTAGAACAATTTATTTTCACAAAAGTCTCTTGCATCAATACTGTCCTTTGCAATATTATTTTTTTACAGTTCTTAAAAATATAGAGCTCAAATAGAGTTTTACGGATAGATTACTCCACATTCAAAATCTGCCAATCCAATTTTAGAATTATGTTTCTGGAAATATATCGTTAGCTCTTGAAATTCCAGCTTCTCAGGAATAAGAAAAGCGGGTAAAATGACGTAAAATGTAAATGTAATGTAAAATGATGTAAGCTGTAAAATGACATAACTTTATTGATTGCCCTGAATTTACACAACAATCATGAAAATCAATACACATAATGCACTAATATTTACAAGCACACAAGACAAGTATCATATTGTGACATTCACTCTTATTATATCTTCTAATTTATTTACCTACTTAATTAATTATTAATCTGGCTAGCTCAATTTTTATTATAATGGGCGTTATGATACTGTCCCAAGGCTACTACTACTGTTATTCGTAGTGGAGCTGAAAATTAACCACTCTTACAAGACTATGACTAGTGATTATTATTATGCAGGGAACCGAATTATCCTAGTAAGTAATTGCTAAATAACCACGCGCCATTAATTAATTAGTAATATTAGTGGTAAGAAGTAATGGCTGCAATTTGTTATTTTATTATTATCTTTTCTTTCTTCCTGAATTAATATAAAATTTAACCTTTATCTAATTAATTTTCCCAACCTATGTTGGCCGTCATTACTTTATTCTTATTATTTTTGAAAACTGACTTAATTTAACTCATTATTCTAATGACATTTTTGGTCTTGAACAGCAAATAATTTCTCAAAGTCTTTATAGGAATTCTTAATTTCTACACTTCCCTTTTGATGACAAACAGCCCTTTTGGTGATGTATTGAGGAGAATTCCATTCTTGGTCGTACATTTATATTTCCAAAAACATTTTTGGATCGTCCATCAACCATTTCTTGTAGCATTTCACACTTACATTTTATCATGAAATATTTTTAAACTGTGCGCTTTTCTTTACTTATTTAATTTGTAACAGAAATTCAATCATCTTGTGTCCTAATATTCATATCTATTCAAGCCACGTTCTGTCTTTAAGGCAAACTTCAATAAAGTGTTTGTTGCGCACGGAATAACATCCTAATCTCATTGAGACATGTTAGTTCTTTTCCTAACATTTGTACTGACAACATATTTAGCTCTTTCCCCCTCTTTTTTCTATTTGTTTTTCGCATCATTTTGATGCTGTTTTATCTGCTTCTCTACTGTACATCTGAGTTCACTTGTCTACCTAACAATGTCTTACATAAATATTTTATTTAAATACAAATTTTCCTAATATTTGAAATATATTACTCACATGAATTTTATTCACATTTCTCAAGTCCCCAATTTCTCACTTCTGTCTATATTTCCTGGTGTATATTTATACTTAATATGGTATTCTATCCACATACTTTAAATATATTTTAGAAATATTCTGATAGGTATTTTGACCCCTCTAAATATAATTAAATAAACAAAAAAATACACACTTATTGTAGAGTTTATTATCCAGATTACCACGAATATCTATTCTAGTTAACACACCACTGAAATATAATAGTACACATTTATAGTGGACTTACCTCTCAAAATTCTTTCGTGTTCTGAAGGTTTCCATGTTCCTTGGTTCAAGTGATTCATTATCATCACTTCGCCAACAAAACTATGCTGGGTTTGCTTATTGCTCACAGCAAATAAAAGTGATTCATACTGTTTTAAAAATAATTCAATTTTACAAAGTCGGCATCTATTGACAAAATACAGGAGATTAACAATCCTACCTTATTCACATAATTATTACACAAACTATTGTAATGATTATAATTATTCATATTTATTTTTCAATATTCATTGAAAAGATTTTCTCAAATAGAACTCATAATATTTACATTACAATTACCATACACTTGCATATGTGAATTTGAAAACTAGTCACCAGAAAAGAAACAAAAAATGTAAAATTGACACATTTCCTAGAGCACATTTTGGGGCTGAGATTTATAAAGGAAGTTACTAATCTATTTGCATTCTCTTTCCTTACAAAAGAAATAGTTGGATCTATGTGAACATTTGATTTACCATTTTGTAAATAATTGCTTTAAAAGAGAAAACACCCTATTTCAAACCCTTGAACCATGTGTACATAATTTTAGACCCAGTACTAGTAGTTTGAGTAAACATTTTAATATTGTTAATATTAAAAAACATAATTAATTTGCACAAAATACCAAAAATTCAATATAATTTTCTACAGATTTCTAGATTCTGGCCAATTCTGATCACCTTTACTATGGAGTGGGGACGTCCGGTAGAATTGAGACTCCAAAAATGTAATAGAATGTACAAAAATGTCAAATTTTGTAGAATTCAGTTTGCCTCAGGTCCCACCAACCCCCCTGCTAGTTCTCCCCATGTTTCCCCAATATTTATTGGAAGTTCTCCACGTGTTCTAAGCATATGATGAATCTGGATATCCTGAATATCTACAGTGTTCAGAAGAACCGATCCCCAAAATGTAACAGAGGGGCTATAAATATTGTTTTATTGAATATAACTTAAGAAACAAAACTCAGGGTCCTTATTAGAACCACAAATATCATTTTAAGGATACAGCAAGTTTTTGAGTTATGAATAATGGTAATGTGGTTGCATGCAAGTGTTTTTGTGTCTGTTTTTTCTAAGTTGTTTTTTCTACATTAAGGAGGCAATAAATGTATCTGTCACACAACCAGTGTCCCAACACCTCCAATAAAGGCTCATTTATACCATTCTATTGTCTCATTCCTTCATTTAGTATATAAACAATTCACTATCATTAGTAAACTAATTTAGGCAGAGAATAACAGAATATACTAAATAACATGTTCATAAATCTAAATATAAGCCCACATAAAATCAGAAAACCAAGAATCATTAGGTTTCTTATTACCATTTGATAACAATATGATTAGAATACATGTAATTAGAGGTTAGGTGTCACTGCTCATCCATGACTTTGTCCAAAGTCTCTTAATGTAATCAAATGTTTTGAAACATTCCTGTCAGAATTTGGTTCATCTAGATATAATGGCAAATTTATATGAACAAAAAAATACCGACATACAAGCTTATGTATTATCATTACTTTCATTTTTGTGTAAGTGAATGAGAAATAAATATAGAGGCTGAAAATTACATTTATTGAGAACATTGATTTTTCAACATTTTTATATTTTCTGAGTTCATGAAACAAACATAACGAGAACTTCCAATACATTTTTTTATAACCCTAATACATTTAAAAGAATATATTTTTACCCCTTTTTCTTTTCTCTCTTCACTTTAGGGCATGGACGTAAGTTTTGATTCTTCACTAACACAAAGATTTTGAAATTAGGTTACATACTTACTTTTTTTTCCTAGTACTATTAAGATTATTAGTTCGTAAATGACACTCTACAGCTTCATTAGCCATATCCAATTGGCTAGCTTCTTTAAGAAGCTGCAATTTCTTCAGAGCTTCTTCTCTATTTTGAAATAACTCATCACTCCACAATGTCAACTGATGTTCAACACTAGCTAGGGTTTTCACTCTAGAGTAAACATTGAAAATAAATTTGTAAAACTTAAACAAATTTTTGAAGTTCACTTTCATCATACCAAAGTCATATCTCATACCTGTTTATAATGCTATTTTGACCTGGCTTTTGATTTTCAAGCAGTTCAAAATGTACTCTAGTCAAAAATTCACCTTTCTCATCATGTGTCATAAGCCACATGATTGATTCAGACCACCACTCATCTCTCCCAACAGAGAATGATGATAGAAGTTCATGAACATGACTAGTAAGAGATGACAAAGCTTCCTGGGCAGTTGCCACCTTAAAAGCAAACATTTCTACTAAATCATCAAGAAAGGAAATGCAAGTGGCCAATATTCATCAGAATAATACAAAATGTTAATAAGAAAATAAATTATGAATACAAAAATGCATTTTGAAAATGAGGCACAATTACATACAATAAAACATTGTGAATTAAAGAAATATCCTTACACATGCAAATACCAGTCTTGTGAGATTGTGCTTTGCTCTAATTAGAGGTGCCCTTTCCAAAGTATGCTTCCTGGATCTAACTTAATATTTATTTGCCTTCCAGGCCTCTAACTTATCACAAGCATCAAAAATTTGGTCTCTACTATATAACAACACAATGAAAAGAATGGAAGCAATACAACATTGGTCTTTTAGTTTATGACATTATGTTTACACCTGCCAGTCACTTTTTGGAATTGTGATTGTAAACCATGTAATGGAATCATGATTATGGAAATGTATCCTCAACTTTTAACATTTCATCTCTTTCAATTGAAAAAATAATGACAAATTTGGTTCATTTGAAATATGAAAGAATCTAATTGACTGCCCAGAAATAGTCAGCTTTGTAAACGTCAAGTGGCATATTGAACAAAATTAGATTTTTAATCTTAAACAGTTCTTATTTTGATATACTTTTATAGAGACTATTCCACTCATGATTCGTAGTCTATTAGCATTCCAGAGTTTGTCAGAGGTTCATTAATCAAAACTGTCATACACCACAAAGATTACATCACTTTCGTCATCCTTAAGTGATAGTTATGAAATATAGTTACATTGAATTCGTTCTTTTGTTTTGTCTTCCATTACCTTTCATTAGCTTTCTAGTAGAGGCAAAATGGGAAAAATATTAATTCTCCCCAAAGCACAATTGTAAAGTGAATGATTCAAGACTAATTACAAGAGCACCAAGTAATAAAAATTACTGATCTTGCCAATGCTTTAACTCCGAAGCCACATATTTATAAGGAACCATACTGACAAGGAACACCATTTGTAAATATTAAATACACTTACACATTATTCTGCTTCGACTTCAACCTCAACAATTAGAAAATCTATAGTTAATAAAGTTCCATCAAGTAATGATTTTCAGAAGTGTGTTTAAGTAAATGAATTTTTAAAAAATAAAAATAATTTGTTACATTTATTGTGATCTTGTCGTTCCATTCCTGCATGTTCTAAGTATTATTATTGTAATATATTATAGTACATTATGGTAATATTTCTCATTTCCAGAAAATGTGGTTAATACATATTTGATCCAACAATGTAAAGCAATGCTAGTTACAGGGTCTTTATTTTATCTTGCAACCCAGGTCTGGGAGCACCTATACTAGTTTTGGCAATGTGTGAAATACCTTCAGCACCACTTTCTCTTTTAGCGACTCCCCAGCAGTCACGTGCCATCTGGTTTCAAGGTGGGGGTTTGCTACTATTTTAGTTGGAAAAAAGAGAAAACACTTATTCTGTCCTTGGGGAGACATTCCTTTTTGATTCATTCATGGTTGTAAGAACACATGTTTAGGTAAGAAGAGTCACTTCAAAAATGTTGCGCACAGTAGTAAGAATTTTTCACAGAATGATTTGTTTCACAAGGTCTGTGGCCACCACGTTCCCCAGATCTTACTCCATTAAGACATTTTCCTGTAGGGTGTTCGTAAGAGTTAAGTTTTGCAAATAAACCAACTTCTCTTAACTTAAGTCGCAATATTGCAGAGTCTGTTGGACAAATTGAAGAAATTCTTCAACATGTTGCAGCCACTACACTGAAAAGAGTAAATGCCTGTTTTTTTGGCAAATGATTGACACTTTGAGAATTTATTCTAAGGTAATTGTAATTTTAAGGAAATAATATTTTATTATTTTTTATTAATTATTTTCAATAAATATTAATTTACTACTTATGGACATTTTATCAATATTTCTATTTATTAAGATTTTTGTATTTCTTTAATTTCCAGATTCCATAATCATAATCATAATAATAATAATAATAATAATAATAATAATAATATTAATAATGATAAAATTACTGTTTCAAATAATAAAGAGCTTGGTTGTGATGATTCACAAGATATATTTCTAATTTCTATCCGGGCCAGCTTTATTTAACTAATAAGTACTGTTACGATGCTGTTAATAAATCAATAAATCAGTCTCAACTTCTATCCACATCTTCAGTGTCACAGTTTCGTTTTTGAAACACACTGGACAGAATTGCATGAAGAGATTGATTTGTTTGCAAGCTCATGTCTCTACCCATCCCACTCCGGTCAGTGCAAAAAGATTCCTGCGTGTCAGCAGCGTATCTGCCCACCCAATATCTTGAATGGGAAATGCACAGAAACAGGAAAGTTGCTGCAGCTCATGACCTGACGCTCACCTACTCATCTGCTGATCCGATGTGCCAGCCAGTAGCTGTCTTGAACGTAGGCAAATATAAGTGGTGGTAAAATTGCTAAAACAAGAACAGATGCTCCCAGACATGGGTTGCAACATAAAATAAAGACCTGTTAGATTATGTATGAACTACATGTGCTGTAACAGTGGTGTCAGATATAATGTTGTAAAATACATTTTGTTCATTTATATATTATTATCATTTTGTTTAGAACAAGTCAATGACTCACACACAATTGTACTGCAAACAACACCAGATGAAATATGTCAGTTTGTTGCATTTTGAAATAAATAAATAAATATTCCATAAAATGTCCAAATAAAAAGATTTTATGTCCAAAAGATCATATTTTAATCTTTCATAATTTACAAACATATAATTTTTCAAGTGTTTATCATTTATCATAGGCTCTAATCAGTAGAAATGTTTCCTTTTTTCTTTTAAAATTAGTTCAGTGTAATAAACATTACCTTCTCATCTTGTTTGTTCATAAACTTCTCTTCTAACTCAGTGGCTTCTTGCTGCAACTTATGATCTCTCAAGGTAGGAGGTATGTTCTCCGAATGAACACACAGTACTTCAGCTAGATTGTGTAAAGTATGAATTCGCTATAAGGAAACATGAATAAAGTTCAGAATAAAATTGAAATGATGTTATTCCACTGAGAGTGCTTTTAACAACAATCACCTGAAGAGTGTCCATTTTAAGTGAGTCTTTGTACTCCTCAGAAATCCTTAGAACTTCTCTGTAGTGTTCTATGGCTTCAGTCCACATTTCTTTGATTATATGAATACCAGCTAAACCTGAAAGAAAAGACGATAAATGCAAAATGATTTTATGCTCTACCAAGTTAATTTCCTTAAACAAATTATTAGAAAACACTTTTCAATAAAAATATCAATTTTCTTTACTATAAAATTACAAAAGTCCTACTTATAAGTGATGATTTCAAACTTCTGTCATTTAATAAATCAAGTAATAATAAATGGAAAAAATCTAGAAATAAATAAAGTTCAAAATAACATGCTACATTAATATTTATTGAGACACATCAGAGCGGTAGGAGTAATTGAAACTTTTTTATTAAATTACTACAGGAAAGTATAGTAACTTTACGTGGGTGAAATTAAATTAAAAGCCATGTAATGTTTAGAAATAAAATCTTTTAAAATTGAAAATCATATTGATTATCAAAGTATCAACAAATGTTTCAAAAGAAATTTTTATTATCACATTATTATCATTATTATTATTATTATTATTATTATTATTATTATTATTATTATTATTATTATTATTTATCACACTCTCGTAACACCACAGCTCTCACCATTAAGGCACAACTCAGCTGTCACATCACCGACTCCTTCATTCTTTTGGTTCGACAAACAACAGACCAAACTATTCTAGAAAGATTTCAAAGTTCTCTTTTTACCACAGCTTGTGAGGAAAGCAATCCACTAATTTATGCCATGATTTACAATAAAATGAGATCGATGATTCTTTCATCCAGGTTTATATTATGTCCAGTAGTCTCTGATCAATAACTCTTCTGAAGAGTCCCAGATTGGGATGTAGGGCATTGTAGGGCCCGTGCCCAGCATTTTGAAGGTCTTCTCTTTTCCTCCTCTGCTCTAAGGTCAAAAGACACATCTGGTGACACCTTATTGATATTGACATTCTCTCAGGATTTTTGTGAGAAGTTTCTGCACTTTCTCTAAATGGAAAATGTCGTTTTGATAGTGGAGGGACCATGCCTTATTTTGATATTCCAGATCAGCCCTGATATACATTATGTAGAATGGATTTTCCTTATTGCAAACAGTTGCAAGGTGGAAAAAGCATTTCTAATTAAGTATGTGATTGCGTTTGACCATTTAGTGACTAATGATCCAACCACTCACTAATTTACCAGTTTTAGGTCAGATTGTAATGGTTAGTGGTGTTTTATTGAGTTATAACTTGATGTCATCAGCACATTTCAGTTCAAAGATAGTCCAATTCTGATGTCACTCTGGTACAAGACAAATAGTAGCAATACTAAGACCAGTTATTTAGGAACTCCACTAGTAAGCTGTCTCACTAAAGAGAGTTTACAATCAATGCCTACCACAACAGTTTTGCCAGAAAAGTATTTTTGGATCAATTTTTGAGCAATTTTCTTCAAGTTTAGAGGGATTGGAGCTTTTGAAGTAGTCAGTTGTGTGGGACTTTGTTGAATGCTTTGGCATTATCTTGGTAGATTATGTGCATATTGACCTTCATTCGGGGCTTCAGTTCAAACATAATTCTATTTGTTGCCGACCTTCCAGCAAAAAAAACGTGCTGTAGTAGTAGTAGTAGTAGTAGTTTCTTTATGCATAATCACAAAGCTTCTGGATGCTCAACTCTCCACGAGTTTTCCCTCTGTGCTAGTGAAACTTATAGGTCTGTAAAAGGTAAAGGTATCCCTGTGTGATTGCACACAGGTCGATGTGGCCCACAGGGCAGGTGAAGGTAGGGCTCCACCTATTCGTCGCTGTTGGCACAAGGAGGTTGTGTGGCGAGCACCATGTTACTTTTTATTTTTTAAATATAAAAATATTTCCTTTAACTTTTGGTACATTCATATTCAAAACTATTTGTGTCTACTTTTGCCCTCTGCATAAACAGCAACATTTAGAAACTTAGCACATGGGCCCAAAATAACATTGATAACTTACCTTTAAACACATTAAAAACTTTAAAAATGTAAAAAAATATATTGTGTAATTTCTGTTCGTTATAACTGTATTTTTGAGAAACTTTTAAATTTAGAAGTGTTTTAAGTTCTATATTCAAAATTTAGTTCCCAAAGTTTTTATTGAACAATGTTGAGTTTTGTGAGTATTTGAACTGAAAACAAATGAAATGTTCCCTTAGAATACGATAGGAGTGTGCACCAGTTTTGTTTTGGAGTCATTTGTAATCTATAAAAGGAGACATTTCGGAGGCTTCTAATATATTTTTGAGAATTCACTGACACAGGTCAGCAGAAATATGTGAAAAATTAAATTGATAATTTGTTGTTCTGGGTAATTTTATCTAATGGATGTAAGTCCTCCTGATTGTTAATAAATGCTTAGCAATATTAGAATGTTTTCCCTTAGGCAATACTGAGCCAATATACTAATATAATTTTATATAATATAATATAATTTATTGTGCAGTTAAGGCCTCCACTCTTCAAAGTTGGATTTCACTATGAAGCTATTTCCCCTTTAAAAAATTGATACAGATTGAAAAAGTGTCAAATATTTCCTAGAATCCTCGGAAATATAGCTAGTTGACGTTTTGATTGTTACATTTGTTAAGTGTTGAAAATTGAAAAATTTTACTTGAATACTTTAGTTGACTATACATTAACATACTAACAACAGAAATCTGATCATGAAGAACAGACTGAAGTACAGAAGTTATGAAGAAAAAAAAATGAAAATAAAAAATAAAAAAAAATCCTAGATGGTGGTAAGAGAATTTACTCTTACATATGAAAACAAACATCCTATAAAATTGAACCACCAAAGATCATCCAAATTGAGAGAACAATCATAACTGATAATTTGAAATTGTAAAATACGTTGCTGTTTATCTTGAAGAGATCTATGCATCTGAATCTATTGATTAACACCCAACTCAGGAAGACAGACACTGAAGCTCTTGAGAATATGTATTTTTGGAACAATGGAAAAGGGTTATGAGTAACACATCCATTCCACATACACAAATCAATTTTCGGGTATAAAATTGCATGCATCTCCTCTCCAGCTGCATCACATCAACCAGCTATGCAACAACACTAATAGACCTTAATCCTGATGTGTAGCATTACTGCTGAAAATTACCTTAAATATGGATTTTACAACCAGTATTTGAGATCATATTGGTGTTTCTACAGTATAAGAGAGGCAAATTAAAAATCATTAAATATACACCAATATCTTAACATTACAAAAAGTAAAAGAAAATATCTATACACACCATTCATTGCAGCAATAGTACGTCGAAAACATTCTTCTGCTTCCAACTTTGTCTTCTTCAAAAGGGACTCTAAGAGTTCTTCCATTGTCATTGTAGCTTTCTGTCCCACAAGAAATCCTCTCACAACATGATGATGAGAGCATGCTTGGCGAAGTCTTAATAATGGTTTCAATAACTAAAAAAATTTGTCTATTATTCAAAAGCATTAATATATTTTAAGAAAGTCTTCAATACATTATTATCATCATTTACTTGCCCTATGAAGAATGCTCCTGTTCAATGATTTCAAAGGAACATTTATTTCTCCAAATTTTGAACACATTAAAATAAAGTCATTAGTGCACAATGTATGCTGAAGACGATAAAAATGTTCTTCAACAGGTGTAAAATTTAACCAATGGAATTGATGAGTTTGTTCAGGAATGTTTATCTGAAAAAGAAAAACAAAGCCACTATTCTAATAATAATTCTTTTATTGTGTACAATTCTGAACAAAATGTAAAAAATATCATGGCAAAATGGTACAGTACAAATTTGTTGCCCTGTGTTTTAAGTATGAAGATAGAGGCATATGAGAGAAAGCATGGAAGAATTCCATGGTATTTTAAATAGCTTCAAACTTTTTGCTTGAATAAAGCACAGCATGTTTATAAATATGGTATACATCTGATTTTCAATAAAACCTCTGAATTTTCAAAAATTGTAAAAGTTCAACTTTTCTTCTAACATGTTCTACTTCTTCAAGTAATTTCTATATTAATGCAATTCACTCTTCAATATTAGATATTTAAATCATATTCTATACAGTTTTTGTGGAATATTAGTACATTTTGCAAAATTCTAAGTTAAATCATGACACTTTTCTCAAACACGATTCCAAATCTTGTTTTAAATTTTTGTAAAAATAGAGTAACACTTTTAATACAATTTAATCAAAACTTTAGGATTTTCAAAAATTGAAATTGTTTATTTCTTTACGGGCACTGCTTGGACAGACCACTGGTCTTCCTGACCATCATGGCAGTGTAATGATTACCACACTGAACTTAAAAAACAACACTGGTAGTGTTTGCATTAATGTGTCTTATGGCTCAAGTATACATGTGATTAGAAGTTGTGGGTTTGATCACCGCACAAACGTGTGCAACGTGCTTATTATCAGTAAGTTCGTGGCCCCATAATCAAATTCTTAGGCTGACTGCTCTGATCAGTGATCAGATTTTCCTGATCACTTCCCAGGGAATGCCACAGCAGCACCCTACAATGCAGGCCATATGTTTCTTCCTTTCCTACCATTCTCTATTTTCCATTCTAAAAGCCGAGAGATGGTCTGATCACCCACCCTGAATGGCCCATCCCACAAAAATTTTGAGAAAGATTTCCATCAAATATTACAGATAGGCCAAGGGAGAAATGAAAAGGCTGTTGAGCTCGAAAAAAGAAGAAAGATGAAGTTATAAATCTATGCACTCTAGTTCAAGTGCCAGGCAAACATTTTTACTGGTTAAGAACAGAAGCAGAGGCATGTGTTATGTCAACGAGGCAATCCTAAAATGCAGTAACTCATTGCAGACAAAAACATATGCAACTGAGATCAAACATGTGAAATTATTGCACAGGTTCAGCTAGTGTTATAACATTACATAACCATTATGAATAATAAGAGAAAGTGCATGCTATTAAATATATTATTCCTTAATACTTTCTGAATGCTGTGATAGATCTTAACATTACCCAAGCAAACTAAAACTGACACACACTTTTTAACACCAACTGGCTGTTTTAAGAGTTTCTGTTGAAGAAATTTTAGACATTTATTTCTTGCAATCACTCTAATGTACAAAAAAGGGACCTATGAATCAGCAGCAATAAACATTGTATAATTTTACAGTTACATTATTTACAATGATTTATTTTTGAAATTCTTACCACTCCCATGCATGTTCATATTTGAAATATTAATCTTCACAAAGAAGGCACTTATGGGAAACAAGGATTCTGTTACTCTAAACAAAGAAGTTCATAACTATGATACTAGACTAAAAAGAAATCTGCATGTGCCACACAGTGAAACTTAGTATTTACTTGGCTGTCTGGATGATGCCGCATCCATAGAGAAGGTGCCGATGTTCGCCATGGATGCCAATGTCGGCATCTTCGCCACGGACAGCCAAGTAAATACTGACTCCGGCCGTGAAAGCCTATGCTTTCACAGTGAAACTTCACTCTTTCAAAAAAGTACCCTTATAGAAGGACATGTGTGGGACACTACACAACTAACTCCCTAGTGAATTTAAAAGCCTAAATTCAATAGACATATTCAAAAATAAACTGAAAGCTTTCCTGTTAAACCATACATCTAAACATGTACTTACATCAATATAAACTAGTACTAACAATTCTTTCCATTTTGTTGCATGTTTTGAAGCTCCCAAACTGATTGTTGGATATAAAGGACAGACCCAGCCAAGGCATTAATCTTCTAGGAAGACAATTTGTTTTCTTTTTTTTTTATTATTATTGTTTCTCAATTTTAGTCTTCAACTACCATTTATAAAATTAATTAGCATTGCATTGTATTGAATTGTATTTAGTATGAGAATTGAATTTTAATTTCTGTATTGTATTTAATTTTTAGAAATACCTGTATGAATAATTATTATCCCGACTTCTGTCATTACATGCTTATGCAGTATGTATTTGACAAAATTACTTTTTATTATTATTTTACAATTTACTTTTTTATTTTATTATTATTATTATTATTATTATATTATTATTATTATATTATTATTATATTATTAATCTCGGATCGAAGGATGCCGGGTCGAGTCCCGTCTGGGCATGGTTGTGGTTGTGTTCGTCCTTTCACCCCTATTCATACAATATCCTCCATCTCTCATTATCACTCCTGAAATAATTCAAAATTGTAACTCGAGGATTGTCCCACTCTAAAGTAGCCAAAACACCTTCGACAGTCGACCATGAACTAGTGAAGTGGAACGACTCACGAGGTCCAATGTGGCCAATCAAGTGTGAAAAATTGAAGAATATGGTGAATGAAATGAAAAAGGTGAAAATATGATAAAGGCAAGTCACACAAAGAACTGTTTAACGTGACACAATCACCTCTTTTACCTTCATTTTTAATTGAGGTTTACATTGAGTGATCAAATGCAATAAGCGTTTATAAATACAATTTCTTGTAAAAGTATTGAATTTTTGTTTAATATTCTCCTTTGTATCTGAAACAAATGTGATTCCAATCTGAATAAGTGATTTCTTCTGTAAATGAGATGAACACTTTTCGAAGTGAGAAATTTATTTAAAAGAGAATTAAAGGTTTGCCCTTGAAATTCAATTTATCCAGTTTCAACTGTATTACAATCATTCACAAAATTTCCCAAACTCCTCATGCCTTCTGTTGAGTATGTTGGTGATTTACATTTCTTCAGCAATGTTGGTTGTGAGTATAACTTGTTATTGACTGAGCATTCTATGAAAACACTTACAAACATCAGTTTTTAAGTGAAATATTTTGTGTCAGAAATGAAAAACCCACAAATATTTCAATTAATTTTTTTTATACTGACACATTATTGAAAAAACAAAAATTTAACCGTTGAAGAGTTCATTAGATATCAACAATTACTATATGAAAATTACAAATTAAATTACATGGAAAATTCTGCTTATTATAAAATTCTTTTAATGTTACAAAATCAGAACATAGAAAAGCAAATAAAACATCTAGGTATTTTGTTTGGATTAAAAAATATTACAATTATATTACCTCATGTAAAACATCTTTCTTCATTGTGCGCCACATAATGAGGTCAAGAAGTTTATGTAAAGGTTCTGTATTCCCTTGACAGTACGGAATGTATAAACAACGAGTCCAATAGCGTTGAGAACAATATGGCTCAACTCCAAGAAACTGAATTAAACCAAACAAATCTATAAAAAAGGAAAGATCGAAACAAGTTCACATTAATTTCCAAATTACATGTACAAAGCCTATATGGCTTCACACACTTTTTACTTTTTTAGATCAACAGTATCTACTTTAATGACATATCAATTCAAGATGCAATCTAAAGTATGCAAACATACCTAAGAGAACCTCAAACAGGTTGTCACAGAAACCTGCATTGGAACCCTTATTCACCGGAACTCCAGAAAACTACATTGCCTTATGATTTACAACTACTAAAAAATTTAATTACGAATAAACTATTACTATATGTATGAAAGTACTTAAGAATTTCTCTACAAACAAAACCACTGGAGAAAAGTACATAAGTATTTAGTCTTCCAGTTCATTAATTTTACAGAAACCTAATTTGATTTCCTAATTATTATTTAAGGTACAAAATACCAATTACAAATTGAACTTCATTCACAAACTGAATCTTTTTCTTCTCTTGAAACTAGCTATAAACATTAATTTACCTTGTACTGTCTTTTGTACAGGTGTTCCACTAATAGCCCAGCGATGAATTGCATCAAGGCGATTTGCCATTTCTGCAGTTTTACTAGTAGAATGCTCCACCATTTGTGCTTCATCTAAACAAACTCTCCACCATTTAATGTTCACAAGTGGAGATGGCACAGCAAAGAAGCGTTTGGAATAACGAAGGCTCCTACAAGACAATGTAATTGTTTCAAGTAATGGGTTAGGAATTGTTGTCTCCTAACGTGATGAAGTTGAGAGAGCCACATAACATTATTTCTTTAGAATTATAATATGTATTTTTAAGTCTGTACTTACCGACCCTGATCTGTTGAATTGACATCTGCATGTACAAGTTCTTTTCTTAGAATTTCATAAGTAGTCAGAACCAAATGATAATCAGCAATGAAATGAGGTTGTAAAAATCCATCTTTCTGCACACCTCTAAAATAGTTTTAAACAGAAAATAACATTCCTCTCTCTTAACCAAATAATTAATCATACATATAGAAGGGAATGATTTATCAATACACAAACATTTAAATCATTGCTCTTCTCCAAATCAAAAACGTATGAAATAATGAAACACAATAATGTTAAAGTTCAAAAAAGAAAACAAACTACGATATACCTTGAGAGAGAATTTTCACTATTCCATCATGTTCGAGATCAGAAGTAAAATTAGTTCAGATAATTTTGCAAACTTGGGCAAAAGTATTTTTATGAATTATTCTAAGAGCCTGGTTAGTCACTGGTACATATGGATGGAAAGGAATGAATGGTATAAGAACATGATAATTTTCTCGAGTCTTGTACAATCCATTCTTTTCATCATATTTCCCCATTCAAATAAATCTTTAGAACAGAAATAATAATAATAATAATAATAATAATAATAATAATAATAATAATAATAATAATAATAATAAAACGAAATTATTATTAGTAATACAAAGAGATTCTGAATACTTCCTATTTTGTTCTGAAATAAAAAATAAACTCTATTTACAAAAAGGAAACAACATCAGGAAATAAAATTAGGAAAACAGATTAAAGAAATAGTAAGCTAGTCAAAGAAAGTTTTACACATCAATTTCTCATAAAATGATGTCTTTTAATTTATACATAAAATAATGTTATTGGAACACTTTTTTTTTCTTCAGAAAACCCTGTCAACAACAAATTATTGACAATAAGTTCCACAAATTGGAAAAAATTTATGCTTTTTACCTGTACACTAATGTTTTGAAACTCTTGTCACTAATATGCTTCTCTATTTCAAGAAGCCACTGATTGCTTATTGAAGTTGGAGACACAATCAAAGTTGTTCTTGAGTTAATAGGTTCCTAAACACAGAACAAAAAGACATTTACAGAAATAATACAAAAACAATTTTACAATTGAATATGGACACGAGACCCAAAATTTAAGTGACAAAAATGACAACTAAATACAGATTTCTTTATTTCATGGTTGTGCACAATTCAATCCTATGCAAAGCCAGTTACATAGAAAATCCTTTGCCCTACTTATTTTTTCGGATGCCACATGCAATTGAGAACAGAAGAAATTTCACTTCTGCTCTGTAATCAATCTTCTTAATAATTATGTACAACAGTAACGTGACTGATTTTGCAAGAAACATAGCAAAAAAAGAGTCTACAAATTCCTTTGAAACAATGTGTTTTCACATATTCATCATTGAAACTGAATTTCCAACTTACCATTTTTTGCCAACATTGTGGACAATTATAACCTTTGGTGTTGGGGTTGCCCATGCACTGAACATGTTGCCAATCAAAGCATGTACAACATTGTATCCTTGTTAATTTCTTTCTTTCTTCTCCACAAACACACTTTAAACCTGGGGTCTTGTCTTGTTCAAGAAACATGCATGAACTTCGTGCTCTAACGCTTGTTTGAGATAGTATTTTATTGTACCATTGTTCAAGAGCCTGAAAGGTTTCCCCTTTTGAGCTTCGTTTCGTTGAATGTGTTTCTGCTCTGAAATAATTTAGGGCAAAATTATTAATTTTAGAGAAACTGATTACTATAAAAGAGATCATGTCAGGAAAAAATATTATTACCTCACTGCAGTACATCTTCTTTTTAATTGTGTTCTTCTCTGAGATGAGGAACTCGAATTTAAGTCTTTATTCTTCTGAAACATTTCAAAATCTTCCCACTCTTCTTCACTATAATTTTCATCACTACTAGCACTGTCCTGCGCTTTACAAGATTTTGGTTCGAATATTTTTGCACACTTATCCAATATCTGCGAGTCTGTAGTTCTCTGTTCACTGGAAGGGTTTAGGAGAATTAGGGCAAGAACTTCAACAGTTTTGCCGAGGCCCATTTCATCAGCCAAAATACCTCCTTTAGGCAATAATTCTGAGTGTGGTTCTTGCAGAACAAGATATCCCTCATATTTGTTATAAAAAAATGCCTGATTATCTCCCACAACAATTTTTGTAAAGAAGTGAGATGCAATGTCTGAAACAAGATTTCACATTAAATAGGAATTTAGTTAATATCTCTTTGAAATCAGAAAAATATAGGAAATTTTTTAAGCAAATACTTTAAACAATTTTCAGTTTTTTTCAAAGAATTAGTGACCTTAATAAGATATCAAACCCAGGTTGTCTGGTTTAACCCCAGCTGCTTTAATCACTGAGAAACAGAGACAATCCAGAGACAGTCCTTATAACTCTTGTATTGACTCTTATTAATATTAAATTGTTGTATCTACAAAGGTGACAGGGTAGTGACCTCTAAAGATTACCACTTTTCCCTTTTTTGCCCTTACTTTGTAAAAAGAGAAAATATTGTAATCATGTGCTAGAAAACAAAAACACCTAGTACATGGTTGTCATTGAAGTGGATCTCCAGATGTTCAGTAGTGATGGTAAAGAGAAGATTAAATGGCAATGCTCTGAAGATAATGAACTTCTGCTAATTTCCAGATGTATGACTTCACGGAACTTGTAGAAATGAGTATTGTAATAAGAAAAAAGTATGAAATGTGAAGGTTGCCATAAGATGAAGGATAGTTAGTCTAGAGAAACAAAGTGTAGTTACTACGAACTAAATTGAACTAAAATTGACACTGGATGTGGTCATAATGTACTTGGTCAAGAATGTCCAGTCTACCAACAAAAAAATCAAAATGAAAAGAAGGGCTGTTGTATACGAAAGTGTATAGCAATCAAATAATTTTGGTCAGTGCAATGGGAATGCAATAGTTCTGAATGCAAATGCACTGAGTGCCAAAAAGGACATTACTGAACTATTTTTGCAAGAAACTAAACCAACTGAAGTTGTTCTCGTTGAATCTCATTTAAGAAATGTAAACAAGGATGCTTCAATCACAATTGAAGGACATTCCAGCATTAAATGTGATTCAAATTTTAGTCATACAAGGGATACAGTAATGTATGTTATTAAAGATTTATAATATGAAGTAATGTTAAAGGATATAAAACAAAGGGAGTGGTGGATACTAGCCATTAAAGTATACATTGAAGCAGATTTGTTAGGGACATTTACAGGTGTATGTAGATCACAAAGAGCTGGAAAAGGTGAATTTCGTGATAGATTCTCTTCTGAAAGAATTATTAGATCAGGGTCAAGAAGATTGTACAATTGGAGGTGACTTCAATATAGATTGGTTCAAAAGGGACAATTACTACATGAACAAATTTAAATCTTGTATGAGGGGTGAAGAACTAAAACAGCTGGTAATAGAAGTAACTAGGGTAACTGAAGAGAGTAAGAATTCGATTGATCTCTTAGTAGCTGACAATATGAATATGACGCGTAAAGTAGAAACCAAGGATCTCGGATCGTTATGAATTAAGTGCTACAGGAATATTAAATAATAATATAGATAAACATGAAAAGTCTTAAAGAAAAGAAAATTAGAATGTGGAAATGTTAGATCAATGAGACAATCAATTTTGGATACTACCGATGAGCTTTTGAAACAATTAATAGAGGGTCACTGCTGAAAACGTTGTGAGAAATGTATAAAATCAGTGTTGTGTGTGTGCATGTTTACAGGATTATCCAGAGGATAGATAACAGAAAGTCAGATTTAATAACGGTGTGACAAATGAAAAGTAAGTAATACATGAAGAATCACAAGGGAGTAAATTGGGACCATTACTGTTTATTTAAACATAAATTATTTACCAGAGATGGTAAAGCAATGTAAATTCCTTAAGTTTGCTGATGATACATGAATTTATCTATATGGTAATAATGTACAAGATGTGATAAAAAGAAGCTAGTGGAGCTGAAACAGGACATACTTTTTTATCCCACTAGTAATGTTTATGTAACACTATTTACACTACTATTTCTCTCTGAATTAACACATCTTACTTATGATGTTTTGTAAAACTAATTACAAATTTTAGAACATTAGGTGCAGGCTCTTCCTCTGTGGTCCGCAGACTCGCAAGGCCTTCCGTGACCACACATACATGAAAGACAAAGGACAAACAACCATGCCCACAGTGGAACTCTAACCCGCGACCCTTCAGACCGGGGCACTGAGTCTAGACACGCTCTACCCATTGGCCATCCAGATTGGCAACAATTATAACTGCATTTCATACTATAACTGCTATATCAGGTCCCAACAATATGTAATTCTCAGAACTACACCTGCCGTCTCACGGGGCATCCCAATCTGATACTTCACGAGGACTAGCAATTTTTCTTTCAGAATTCATTTAAATCATATTTTTAAGAGATAAAACCTAATTGCACTAATTTCAATTAACCTTTGCACATTCTTGAAATTTGTCAATACATTGAGAATGCGATTATATTTCTCGCTACATGGATAAAAAATTATCAAATAGGTTTTAAATAATTTCTAAAAGATTAATTTGTAAATGAATAATAAAAGCTTGAATATAAGAAACAAACAAAGGAACATGAAATAATATACAAATTCTAAATTATGTAGCATCCAACTGCCTCCAAACACTTCTCAAATTACGTTTACAAAGCATAGGAAATTTAAAGTGGGCATATATGTGATTAACACCAAATTACACAAAAAAATACTTGTGTTTTTGAAAAATTACACATTACCTCACTGGAAGATTTGTTTTTGATGAATATATTTCATTAAGAAAACAAATTGTATCTCCCCAGTTGTAGTTGTTAGAAAATGCCAAAAAAAAATTTAATTTCTTCAATTTTTCAAAAAATTAGGGATTTTAACAAACACAAGACCTGTATCTTTACACAGTCCCAAATCAAAATTTAATCATATAAGTTTGTGCTATATTTAAGAAAAAAATGTTTAAAGAAAATAAAACTTGCAAAATTAAAAAAAAAAAAATATTGAACTTTAGAAATTTTCTAAAAATCAGGTATTTCAACGAAAATTAGATGTTTGCTATTCTTTTAAATGTCCTTCATACTATCCAAAACCAAAATTTAATCAAAAAACATTGCAGCCTCTTTTTAAGTATAAGTAGCGAGAAAGTAAAAATAGTATGCAATTAAACTTGTTGAACAGAACTAGTATACAGACACTAGTAATAGAATACAACTAAACTGAATGGTTATCAATTGCACTTTCAGATGTAAATCTGAAATGGGTTAGTAACTGTAAATAACATGGAGGGATTACAGATAATCATCAATATTTTAAAGATCATATCGAATAAATTAACAACAAAACATCCAATAAAGTTAATTTGGTATGTAAATTGAAAAAGTTATTTTAAAAACAGGAAATAATTGTTAAGTTACTTTTATTGCCTCATTCGCAATGCAAACTGTTCTTACTGGGGTAAATATAAGGAAATTGAAAAGATACAAATAAACTTCAACAAGCGCATGAGAAATGTATTTACTAAACATTTTACTAAACATGATAAAAATAAATATTACGTTGGACTGTTTAGTAAAAAAAATAGTGATGTGCATCAGTACTCACAAGATAGGCTAATCAATTCCATATGGAAAAAGTACAAACCAGGAAAGAATACAGAACAATATTTCATGGAGGACTGTCACCGTACAATGAATTAACTTAGGAAATAAAGCAAACAGGGTCAGTTTAAATAATTAGAGGAAGGTTAGCTAGCTAATTGAAAGGTAGTCAGTATGAAAATATGAGTGTATAAATCATATATAGTTATAGAATTAATGTTGAATTGTTACAACTGGTAAATCATTTCATATTGTAATAAAAGTAATTACTATACTGAATCGTTACTGTAACATAACTTATATGTTGTTTTGTTAAAGTTGGTACAATTTTAAATTATGATTTTATGCTGCTGTGTAAACAAAATATGATATTGATATTTAAATTAGCTAAAACACCACTTTTATAGTGACTGTGTAGCAATTCTTCCGTGAGGTTTTAAGACCTGATTTACATGCTTTTTTTTTGACAAACAATTTTGGGAGTTTCAGTGAATGCGGACATGTGTGCGAAGGGCATAGTGGCTCTGCCTCACCTGTCACCCCAGAAGTTGCTATGCACATTTGCTATAACTCTTGAAATTGTTCACCAAAAGGAAGTGTGAAAATTGGGTCTGAGGGAGCAGGTTTGTGGTTATGAACTTTCTTAAAGAAATTGCTCAATGAATCAAGGTGTTGATAGTTGAATTTGAACATAAAATTTAATGTTATTAATTAAATTATAATTACTTTTAAGCATGCAGCTTCACCTTTGAAAATATTTTAATTATGCAACATTTCACGAAACTTTACTAACTGTGCACATTTTCTAGAGTTCAGTGGGAAATATAGTTATTCAAATTATTGTTCACCCTATTCTCATGGCAGTAAGTCGATTCCTTCACAAAGGGCACAATGAGGGATAATAGTCAAAATTGGTAGCAAATTTGCCTTTATAAATAGTTTTCATTACAATGGAGCAAATATTTTATTAAATCTTACTAAAATATCTCGTTTCCATCAGTCTTCAGAATGTATGTACATTGGGGTATGGATTCCAGAATATAAGAAACTGTGCACATAATACACTTCGCCCCATAGTACATCACACACAGTTTTTAACTGTTTTAAATAAATAAATAATTCACCACCAGCCAAAGATAAGAAAAAAAATTTGTTGTGATTAACGTAGCACAATTCCGCATCAATTTCAATTTCACAGAATTTACACGTAGTAAAAATAAAAAAAGAATTTGAATGGCAGACAATGCAATTTACATTCTTTCACAACCATAGTGTAACTAACAGTAATAATTTTCAGAAATTTTAAAATTGAGAAATCCACTCATGGGAAAATTTTAAGAGTATCATATTGGCAAGAAATTATCAACAAACCCATTGTGTAATTTAGAGTTTCTTTCTGAAGCATCCACGATACAGCTCGTTCCTGATAAGGACGTAATTTTGGAACTAAATCTTGATGCTGAACATTTCCAACGCTGATATTTTCAAGCTGCCTTTTTACTGAAGAATACAAAGCTTCCAAATCAACTAAGGAAGTATGACTGATATCTTCTGGCACTAGAAAAAACGTTTAGAGTTTATTATCAAAAGTACAAATCTTAGCACAAAAAACAATTCACAAATGTACTTAAATGCATTCGTAGATTATATTTGCTTCAATGAAGGTGGAATACAATATTTTAACATTTCAAATAGAACATATTCTAAGAAGAAAGAAAAAAAAAAAAAAAACTCCTCTTTCAGTTCAAGATTTCTTGGGCTGGTCAAAACTTGCTGACATAACTGTCAATACAAATTACAAGTAAAATACTAAAGACTCCTCACAATTAAATAATTATCACAGCACTCTTAAACAAGACATTGAATTTTTAACATCATTGAAACAAAATTGTATTTACAAAATGATAAGCATGTATCTATTTGAACAACTTGAAAGTACACATAGGATACCATTTCTCAAATTACTCAATCCTGAACCGTAAATACATACCTGTCAAATCCACATGGTAGAAAAAACTTAACACATTATTCCGAAGCTTTGCGTCTATTAGCGAAACTGAATCTTGACACAGTGATTCAAAGAGTAAAATATTTATATTTATTACATTTCCCACATTTTGTACCAATTGCAGACCAAAGCACTTATTTGCGAGCCCTATTTGAAGAAAAAAAAACAACACAAAATTTAGTGAACTAGACTTCAAAAGTAATTGTGGGGAGAAATTAATGTACATTTACTTTAATTACATTAGTTTTACCTGTAAACAATTCTGTGTCTAAGTTACCATCCACACCACAATATTTAACTTCACTCCCTACTTCAAGATAAATAAAGCTACGATTTGGTATATTACTAACATACAACCAAAATTCTTTAAGGGCCATTAAGTCTTCATTAATTCCAGAAATTTTAAGTCGTATGCCCCCAATGTTGAAAACTGTTCCCACAATATCCGAGTAATCAGTTTTCACAGAAATATACAGATCACAATCATCTAAGAAATTCTGAAGTGTTTCATCTATTTTTGAATTCTTCTTCTTCTTTTTACTACGTTTAACATAATTTTCTGACGTTTCAACGATTGTCTCTTCGAACTCGCAAATGTCATCATCAAGGAAGAAAACATCGTTTGTCAACATAGTGAATAAAAAATATATGAAAACGTAATTAAAAATGAATAATAATTACTCAATGTTGTTTGCGTTTGGATACAACACAAATTTCATTGAGACGAATAATAAATTACAATGAAACTCGCACATGCCGGGCTCAGGAAAGGAACACAGGATCGCCCAGGACCAAGTGTCAGTCATTAAAATCACAAAATGCAAACAAGCAATGAATTAGCAAAATTCATTCGGAGATGCCAAAATAATTGGCAAGTTCTGTTAACAAAGGAATGCTTTTGAATTTTATGTACACCAACACCTCAGTCCATTGCAAGTACATGTCAACCAACATGTCACATTAGTCTAAGAGTACCCCAGAGCACCCCAGAGAACCAGCAGAGTACACCACAGATAGACTGAAAAACACAATTTGACCAGACAGATAGACCAAAGCGGACCAGAGTCGACTATGGTAGACCAAACAGTCGACCAAAAAGTCGAGTAGTCGGGTGATTTCACGATTAATCGAAAAATTTGATTAATTGATACTTCGATTAATTTTACCGATTTGAACTGCGAATGCGCAACTCGAACTGCGCTATAAAAGTGGTAAATTGAGTTATAAAAGTGGTAATATACCCTAAGGCGTTTCGCCCTGTGCAAATAGTATATTCTTTTAATTCAAGTATAAATTCTCCAGACTAACAAAATATAAAAGTAGCTCTCCACATACAAACTTGAGCAACGGAATTCATAGCCTGTCCGTAGATTAACACTATTCATCCATTGTCTGCGTCTCTTCAACTACAGAAAAATAATAGATAAATATGAATGGGTGAAAATCAGGACGGTATGTGACTTTTTTGTATTTCAGCATTATAAAAGAACCTTTTCTGTTACAAGAAATCGTTCATAATTGGGAATTTTATGGCACAAATGATGACGTAATAGATTTTGTCACAAATGATTGCGTCATCACACATTCAGCCAATGGTAGCGAGAAAATCGGGGGAGGTAGAACTAAACGGAATAGCCAACCACCGTTTACTCGCACGATGTCAAATACCCGAGTCGTCACAGGGAAGATGTTTCGCAAAATTAAGTTTCATTCTCTGATAAATGTATAATGCTGTAATTAAAAAAATATAGTATGAAACTCATTTATAATGTTGCTTTATTACATTCGTACAAATTTGAAAACTCGCTCCTAAGCCGCTCGTTTTCAAAACATTAACTCATGCAATAAAGCTTAACATTATAAACTAATTGCATAAACTACTATTTATAAATTCTGATAAATCTGTTTATTTAAGTCAGTATCACTGTAAAGTTGTGGTGCTTTGCTTTATCATTAAGACCACGGCATTTTAATTGTTCATTAAAACTACAAAAATACATTGCCACTGAAAAATAGTCTACAATGAACACGTTTTCTCAGAATTTATAAAATGTCACTTACACCGTTCTGGTTTTCACTCATTCTTATAAGCGTTTAATTTTACTTAAGCAAAACTGATAAAAGAAAAAAGCTCTCTATGTTTTGATACTGTAGC